TATATATATAATACACGGAAAGTGATTTGCTGGTGAAATGTCAGATCTAAATAATAAAGGTAAAGCATATTCAGGAAAAATACACAGGCCTGAATATTTATAGAACAATAATGTACGAGGATAGTCAGTAAACTAAGGAATAACGAGGAATAAAATGCATCTACTGTACTTTCATGTCATGAACGGCTGCCCTTAGGAAAGAGACTTTGAACTGTTTAATGCAAAGACATGGTTTCCTAAACTCATTTATTCAATATTCTATCAGCTGCTTCATTGCCCAATTCCAACTCGAGTGAAATGATCATTAATATGCTGTCCATAGTCTCCGATCATGATCTCACTCGATACATTCACAAATTTTGAAATATCCTTATTTTTCTGAATAATTTATAAAAATGTTCTATTTTCTCTGATGACAGTACATTAACGATCTATGTGTGAGATATAGCTAATTTATATTATTGCTTTTGTAAACTGCTGAAATGATACCAATAACATAATAATAAAAACGACGACGACGATGACAATGATGCTGATGCTGATTTTGTCGAAAAGTAAAAAAATTGGGATGCTTTATACCAAACTTTTAAAATGTACCGACATGAAAAAAGGGTTGACTTGTGCAGTACCTCAGTTGTAAGAGGGCTGCTGTCGCCTAAGCATCCAACCTTCTGAGAGGTACTTTTAGCTATGCTTTCAAAAGAAATCCTTCAGCCGCCGAGATGAAGAGATATTAAGCCCAGTAATGTAATGCATGAAAGCGCATCCGGCAGAGAAAATGCCATAGATGAATATTCACGATTTTTAGTTAGGCTTGATGGGGAGTCTTTATGTGGTTGAATGTTACTCAGTTGAATGTTTTGCAGTTTCTCTCACGATTTCTAGGTAAAAGCTTGGCTTCCATACAATCGCTACACTCTATCGCCGACAACTTTCGGTGATGCAGATTGGTCGATCGAATCAGGGAGACTTCCCGATTGCCTTGGGGTACTGCATATGCAGTACCACGATTGCAATGAAAACACTGTACCGACAGTGTAGCGATTGTAAGAAAAACCAGGCTTAATTATTGAGAATTTTCACATTTCCAAGTGTGTTCAACTTAGTTCATCATTTATTGAAATCATACTGATTATTTTGTCATGGAAGTCATTTATCAAAATACTAAAAATGATGGGGAGCAAACAACATGAATTGATGTCAGAGAGGGATGTATTCTGTCAAGTATGATAACGTATCCTAAATAAATTACAAGTAAAAGGCAATTTGAAATCGAAATTCACCCACGGGAAGGAGTGACCTTGGTATTAAGTTCTTATGTTAGTATCCTTCATGCTAGGCTGTGTGGAAAAAAAGCTATTAAGTTGTTGCTGTCGTGTGGACACAAGTTGAAGTTCGTAATGAAGTGTTTGTGTTTTAAAAGCAATCAGTCGATTAAAAGCATTAGTTGTTGTTTGTTTAGGTTCATGATACATGTGTATTTGATGCTCCAATTAATGACATTTTCCGGTACTATGTCCGCCTAATTGCCGTTGCGATACGGACGTTTATTCCTGCTACTTGTAAACTTCTTGGAAAGATTTGACTAAAACGCAAAGAAAGATTATGAATTCTTGAGAATGAGTAGGGGAACTTCATTTAAGACCAATTCTCAATACACAAAGATAAACAGTACTACCGTGCCACACGTCACACACCAACCAATTGAACAAATTTCAAATCAAATAACACTTTGAATTATTCAGTTATTACTTAAGTGAATAGCTTTATTAAAAGTTATTCACTTAAGTAATAACTTTATTGAAAGTTAATTAAGTAATAACTTTATTGAAAGTTATTACTTTAGTGAATAACTTTCAATAAAGTCAGACTTTCAAAATGAAAATCAGTTTTCAATAATTTATATACGTTTTATTATAAAATCCGTATATATTTCATGGCCTATTCTTTACATGCTTTCCACAACATAAATAAATCCCTCATTTACTATTCCAATAGTAAACATAAATTAATGTATTATTGTAGTTTCTATAGAGTTAATTGCTGTCAAGTTTTTGGAGGCTTAGAAAAGGTTTTGATTTTTTATACTCTTTAAGCAGGCCCGTAACTAGGATTTTTTTTTGGGTAGGGGGGGGGGTTCAAATTTGGAAAAAGTGGAGCCTTTTGAAGATGTTAATGACCAACCA